ATTATGATATAGGAAAAAGAAGCACAATAAAACCAAGTAAAACAGATGCTCCTAATCGAGACAGCCCAAACAGATGCCCATCACCTTTAGCCTTTCCCATCACAAAGTGATAAAGCATATCAATCACCCATGTGATAAAAGCCAAAGCCATGTGACCTGCAACAAGGAATAAACCCCACCCCACCATGTACTATTTGGTTTTAATAATGGACACCCAACCAAATGCCAATAATTCAAACTACAAGACCTCACCTTCACATGTACAAACACACACAAGTACACAACTTCACAATAGCATTAGTATCCAAGTCGACAACCACATTAAATATCCCAAGACATAAAAAGTTTAACAAGCAAAAAACTAGTTTTAGAAATATTACATACACCCAATTCTAAACAAAAGCTGCAGTAGTACAGTTTTAAACCGCAATTTGGGCAAAAACATTAGATCATTACATTTTAAACCATTAAACCATATCTTCATCTTCATCTTCATCTTCATTATGACCTCTACCACCCCTCCTGGATCCAGCCCTTCCACTTCTCCCAACTCCCCCACCCCTTCCACTTCTCCCTGCACTTCCACCCCTTCCAGTTCTCCCTGCATTTGCACCCCTTCCACTTCTCCCAGCTCTTCCACCCCTTGCAGTTGTCCCACTTGATGATGCACCTCCAGCAGTTGGACATTTGTGCCTCTGGTGACCCTTTTGATTACAAATGGAACATGTCGTCACCCTTCCCCTTCTTGAAAGCTTTCCAGCTGGAGGCTCAGTTTCCCTGCGAGTCCTTTTTTCTTAGGCCTGCCAGTCATTTTGTTTTGGGTTCAGGTGGTGTATTTTCTCTCCGCCAACCTTAGGCCAAGCCATCTCTCCATTTACTGGGTCCAAAGTGTATGAATATGTGCGCTTGAAGGCAGCTACAGAGTAACAGTCATCAACATATAGTTATGGATCTTTTCCCATGTCAAACATAGCACAAATAGCATGTTGACATGGAATTCCAGTCAACTCCCAAGATCTGCAAGAACAGGTACCACCCTCCAACTTAACATTGTACTGATACTTTCCTTTCTTAACCTCAAATCCATCATCTCCATTGAATACTACACGCCACTTTGAACTTCTCATGATGTTGGCATTCAGAATCTTCTTCACATTAGGACACACCCTTCCTTTCCATCTAACAGCCAGGTCCCTCTTTTTACCAACTCTCTTCATCATTTGGATTCTGATATCTTCTAGAATAGGTATGATTGGTTTGCTTTTACAACCAACTAGTGTACGGTTAAAAGCTTCTGACATGTTATTGTCCACAGAATCACATTTCACACTGGTTCTTATGAATGCTTTGCAGAAGTTTTTTAATGGATATTTTTCCAAATCTGCTTTGGCTGTTGGATCATTTTTCTCTAGGTGTTGTAGCCACTCTTCTAGTCTTGATTGACAGGTAGACCTAGCACACATCCAAAATAGTTGCTTCATAAATTTCCCCCGGTGTGTCTTTCTCCAATTAGCATGGATGTGCCTTGCACAATTTCGATGCTCACATTAGGAAGTAAGGTCTGGATCACATTGCTCAGCCCTTTCAGGAAAGTTAAATTTCATATTAGTAAACAAACTTAGTTTATTACAATAGGACCATGATTAAACTCAGAAGTCAATGTATTAAACTTAGTTGATTACAATAGGATCATAATTCAGAACCCAATGAATATGAACTTGATTGTATAAATTCAGAAGTCAAGTTTATTAAAACTCAATGTTAACAAAGTAAGTTATAAAAGTCAATGTCGACAAAGTAAGTTATAAAAGTAAATGTCAACAAAGTAAGTTATATAAAGTAAGTATTGTTAAATGTGAGAATGATATTTACATTTTGTTGATCGCTTATGATAGTCTAGGGAGAGCTATCCACAATTTGAAGATCTTCCTTCAACAGCTCTAAAAACCAAGACCAGGATGAAGTGTTTTCAATCTCAACTATTGCCCATGCAATAGGGTACATGTTATTGTCTGCATCCCTTCCAACTGTTGTCAGTATTTCTCCCTTCAATAAGCCCTTCAAGAAACATCCATCTAATCCAATTATCTTTCTGCATCCCTCTAAAAATCCCTTTTTCATTGGACCAAAGCAGCAATAAAATCTCTGGAAGAGGCATGGGGCATCATCAACTACTCTGGAGGTCAAGATCTTCACAGTACTGTTGGGAATTGAATCCAACAACTCTTGATTACAATCTCTAAGCCTATTAAACTGTTCCGCAAAGTTGGCATTTATTCTTTTCTTTATGCATCTGACAACCCTCCTCACCATGCTAAAAGAAATATGAATGCCCAGTTCAGTCTCAATGTGCTACTTTAAGGCCACATAGCCAATACACGGTCATCTCTAACCATGTCCTCGTATTTATCTTCTATCCATTTTTTAGACACAACTCTCAGCTTGAATTTTGCATTACACATGTGTGTGTGTTGTTCATGCTTTTCACTTGGAAGCACTTGAACCTGTCTTCCCAACTTGCATAACAGGAAAAGGGGCAGTTTTCTTGAATGCATTGTGCACGTACTCTCTTTGATTCATTCCTCTTAAAGAATATGTTCTTCTTGTGGTGCACAACATATCTAATGAGGGTGCACATAAATTGAATGTTGTCCTCAAAAAGCATCCCCACCTCAATATCAGGAGGTTCACTCTGTGGGTTGTATGAAGGATGATAGTCCTTAAGGTTGGAATCCACTTCATCTTCATTCATATATGAGCCATCTGAAATATAACTCGGTGGGTTATCAGAAGGGTACAACTCCATGCTATCTTCATAGTCCTCAGCCTCATGTGCAAACTCCTTATTACTCTGTGGCATACTCCCCAAAACATCCTCATTATCAGTCACATTATCAGAATCAGAGGCATCCTCATTACTGAGAGGAGGGTCTTCTTGGCTCTTCAAATCTTCTTCATCATCTGCAGGCTGAATTTTCTCTTCAGCCCTCTCAAATTGATTGTGTGCATCTTTCTTTCTTCTTTCTTTGAACTTCCTTCTCCTTTTGATTCTGACCCCATCATCATCACCACATGTTTGGCTTTGTACTTCACAATTATGTAGTCCTCCATCACAATCAACTTGGCAGTCAACTAAACTTTCTTGATGTTCAACTACAACAGAATTGGAAGGTTGAAGCAAATACAATTCATAGACTCCACAACTAGAAGACAAGCTGACCAAGTCCAATGTGGTAGCATCATCAACTAACTCCCTTAAAGATTCCAAGGGATCACGAGGCAGTTTATACATAAGCTTGCCAAATCCCCCAAATGGTCCAGATTCTATGAACTTTTTTAGATGAGGATAACTTACTACATCGGGATCTCTTTTGATGATCTCTATGCGTCCATTGGTATACTCCATAGGAGAGCATGATTCTAGGTTGCCACCATAATGTAAAATGATGTCCAATGTTTCCCACATTCTGATACAAGAAAATATACTCAACATAAATGGCTTCTATACTCACTGCGTACAACACTAAATACGAACGACATAGACAACACTAAATGCAAATGAATAGGGACGGAGGGAGTATATTCTTCCTTGTGCTAACTCTAACGTCATAAAAACCATATGACACATTGGGGGTGTTTGGGAAATTGCGTTTCAGCCAAAAAATGGCGGTGTTACCACTTTTAGCGTTTTCAATAAATGAAAACGTTATTTGGCAAATAGTTGTTTGACCCTAGTGGTTTTGGACGGAACCGCTGAAATGAAAACGCTGCAAATAGGAGAGTTTTGGGTTAGCGTTTTGAAAATAACGTTTTTTACTAATTTTATGACCAAACAGCTAAATTATCAAATATTTTCTGACAACCCGCCAACTTATTCCGATAGTCAAATCCGCGTGGCCGTTTTTTAGGGGGTTAATTAGGTTATCTAGAACAAGGGCCCATGATTTATGGCCCCCCATATTTTCAAACATTTATTAGTATTATATAGTAATATTATATACTAAAATACAATTAGTGAGGAAGAAAATCATAGATTTATCATTTTTTCATGGGTCCTTTTGGTTCTCTTCTATTCAAATTGCTTGAATAATGAGTTGTGTATCTTTAAACCAAGTATTAAATAAGTTTTATAAAAAAAATATTACATTATTTATTGAGTATTCAATTGATTTAAGTATAAGTATTTAGATTGAGACTTTTTTAATTTTTTATATTGATATGGGCCTCGATTTTACATTTGAAATCGGGCCCCCCAAATCCATTAGACGACCATGTGAATCCGTTGTTGACAACTTCAATCAAAAAATCCACCATGTTGTAGAAGTGCTTATGCACACCTTTTCTGGACCTCGCAGCCCAGTCGATGGGCCCACTACTCCTATGAGCGAGCTTTGAAATGTAAGATGGCCCGTTTGTTCTAGGTCGGGTGCGATGGATGGGACGTGACCACACTATCGAGCTGAATTTTTGGAAAAAGTCCGGCTCTACCCCGTATTAAATATGCTCTTGTTCTTAATATTGTTCCTAGGGAATACTCCATGTCCCATAAAATTCTTCTCACTTTCTTTTTTGGATCGTCCCAAAAAAAAATTCTCATTTACATTTTTGTACAATTTGTGTAGTTCACATTCATATCACATTTTTCTTACATAACTACAAGCACACATTTCCACTTTATTTCATTTTCTTAATCTCCGTGCCAAGTTATAGTGGGAAAAATTTTCTGGAACGGAGGAACCGAGGAAGTACTTTTTTTTTTAATCAAGTCATAGACTCCTCATCCATTTTTTGCGGAGAGGGTATAATGGCATTGCACTAATGATGCAAAGATGGATTGGTTGAGCAGTTAAAAGTAAAGGTAATTGGAAGATACCTTACTCAGTGACTTCTTTTTCTTCCTAGATGGAACAAATTTCTCCCTAACAAATAGGCTTTAGTAAAAGTAATCTAATCACATACAGTACTATAATAACCTTTAATTATATGATAAGGAAAATTGAGGAAAACCAAATAACCAAGCATGCATCAATCCTGCAACTATATAGACATTGAAAGTCAATGTTAAGAACGATTCTTTTACTAATGTTTTGATTTGATTCACTTATACATACTCTTCAATCCTAGCATGCTTTATTGCTTTTTTCATATCATCCCGAAAAACTAAAACCACATTCTACTGCTACAAATTCCTGTATAGTCTTCTCTATATAGATGAGTCGGAGGCGGCAGTATTAGTCATCGTTGGCGGCTCTAGTCGCCTCCTCCTCCTCTTCCCTGACGGCGGAGTTGAGATACGAAGACAGGAGACAAAGTTGAGGTACAGTGCAAGAACAGACCTATTTAGCAGTTTTGCTTGATCATTTGATCCAAATACTCAAAGTGAGTAATCAATCATTAGCTTTCTTCTCACTCTGTACTCCCAATACTAATTACTGAAACTGTTCGTGTGTAATTGTGTAAATAGTTTTTGTCGCTTTTAGTCGCCATAATTATGCTTATTTATGCCCATGATTGTTTTGATATTCAACTTTCTCTGTTGTGCCAAAGACATGTATCATCCTCGTCTTCTCGACTCCAAAACTCACCATATTTAGTCCTGAATATTGTTCAAATTGACATTTTTAGTCATTCCATTGTAACTTTGCCACAATAAATGGTGGACTACAAATGTCACCGCTAAATGACAAAAAAAGTCAATTTTATGAAAGTCAAATAACCAAATGTGAATAGTTTTAAAGACGGGTGCCAAAATTAAAGTATCACTGACGTAACGGTCAGAGGACTAAAAGTGTCAAAACCTGCGGATAAAAATTTGATCCCAATAGAACAGAGCTCATGCCGCCCAAACGCTTTTAAATTAAAATGTGGATAGAAATAACACTTTTGTTATACCATGTTGGAAGATATTATTAACGTGAACAAAACTACGGAGTATATATATGCAACCCGGTTTGAGAGATTATTTATAACCACAGGAAAAAGAACTTGGTTAGATTCTAGCAATTTAGTATTGTTAAATTTTCTATATGATTTACGCTTGAAAATGAGTGTTTGGTTACAAGATATTTTGGGTTTAGTTTGGTTTGGTTCATGTACATTTGCAGGTTCCAGTTGTGGAGAACTTAATTGGTTGCTAGGTTTATTCAAAATGGTGTTTGATATGAGTAGAATTGATATGGAGGTTAGTAAGGGATCTCAGAAGAATGGGCAATTGAATAGTTTGAAAGATGAAATTGTTCAACTCACAAGGCTTAGATCAAGGCCATGTGAAAACCTGAGAAGAGAACTTGCAAGGAAAAAGGATGCTTCTATCTCAACCTTGAAGATGCTCATTGCAAGAGAAGCGAATTACTCCAGAAGAGAAATTTTGTCATCATCTCATCGTTGTCACATTATGAATAAATATTTGCCTATAAGAGATCCTATGGTTGTAGATAAGATGCCAAGTAGGGCTTATGTATCACATTTCACTCCCGACGGGTCCCTATTTATAGCTGCATTTCAGGTATGTTTCTTTATAGTTTTGAAGTTTTATTCTAAAAGGTCAACTAATAGTGTGCTTTAACACTTTATATTTGACCGGAAAGGTAAAATTGATAGAAAAAGTAATTAGACAAAAATTGGGTAATTAACTTCGGGTCATAATTTTAAAGCAAATTTTATGGTGCCCTTAAGGTACCGTACATCTTGTAGGGATCTTTCACCATCTTTCTTGGAAGTTGCCAAGAAACATCTCACACCTTCTTGGAATGGGCTCTCCAACAAATAAACATGGAGAAAATATGGAGATAACTATGGAAGCTGACAAATTATACAGTGGGATCGGCCCACCATGCGCATGGTGTGCCGATCCCAATACAGCACCATTTTTTAATTAAAAACGAAGTAGTCAAATATTTTTCTCTCATTTGACCAGCTTTTGTTCTCCATTTCTTCAATCCATTTTTTTTCTCCACCACCGTTCTCACCCACAACTTCCTTCTCCCACTTTTTTTATTCTTCCATTCGACCTTCCCTTTCCTGCTTTCTCTTACGTTTTGTATTGCCATGCTTTCTGGCATATTTTAATAAAACAAGTGATTTCATTTTCAAGTGTGCAATTTACATTCATACATGATTCTTGAAGTTATATGTAATACTACATGGAGTTACATATTTTTATGTGCGAGTTACATGTAATTATGCGTGAGTTATATCTAATTACTTGTGTTTGTTTACTTATCTTTATCTTGAACTAATTAAATTATAACTGAATTAATTTTTTTCTTTACCAATTTAATACAAAATTTTCATAATTCACCTAAAATAGTATATTGTATTTCATATTCATACACTATTTCTTACTTTGTATACTTTTGTTTATATTTATTGTACACTTTTTTTGTAAAATATTTTTTATATTCATATACTTTTTTCTATAATATATTTCTTATCTCTTTTATATGTTTTTTGTGTTTTATAGACATTAAGGTTGTTTATTTCGATTTAATTTTGAAAAAAAAAACATGAGAATAATACATTTTTCGTATGTGTGAGTTATGTTTATATATAGACAATTTCTATAATTACATTTGATAATATATGGAGTTACATCTTCTTATGCACCATTTGCAACTTCTTGTGCGTGAGTTACACCTTTTCATACGCGAGTTACATTTGAGTTAACAAGTTACATTTTGCATACACTATAGTTAGATTTTCAATCAACGCGAGTTACATTTTCCGTAATATGAATTACATCACAACATAAAGCCTACTATTGAAACAAAAGAATCATTGTTATGAAAAAAAATTGTTTTCCAAAAAAACATATGTGTTTTGGCAAAAAATATATATTTAAAAACATTTTTATGGACTAAATATTAAAAACAAAATATATTCACCATTTATGTTAACCCCTGCTATTGAATAAAAAAAATACTTTTTTTGAAAAAACTAAATGAGTTTTTGGCCAAAAAATGATTTTTTTTGGCAAAAAAAGATTGTTTTATTTCTTATAATTCGTATTAGACAAGTTACATTTCGACTAGCTTGATGTTACATTTCTTATTAGCGTGAGTTACATTTGGTTACACACGAGTTACGCCTATTCCGCTACTCGGACAATGAAAAAACAAAAAAGAAGTTATTGTTCACGTGCGTGAGCAGTACACGTTTTTTTGTGGGAGCAGCATGGTCACCTTGGGCTGCTCCCACGGTATACCAACTGATGGAAGCTTGGATGCAACTTCCTCTTGTCTCCAAACTAGCCTATAAATAGAGTGTTCTATTGTTGTTCATATCATCAGTTTAGAAAGTGAAAAAAGTGTGTGAAGAGTGAAATACACTTAGTGTAGAAGTGTATTGGTGAGGATTGATTTTTTGTAATAGTTGAGTGTGATAATTTGCTCCTCGTATTGTAATTTTGTTCTTGATATTGAATAGAAGAATTTTCCAATCCCAACAAGTGGTATCAGAGCCAGGTTGAGTTTTCATACACTTTTTCTCATTTTTCAGAAAAATTTCTACAGGTTAGAAAATCGCGATTTTTGAAGTTGCTTTGAATCACGATCTGATCATACCGTTGGATTTGTCTCGTCGAGAGGAGAAAACTGGTATTTTTGGGGAATTTTGTGGCCACCGGAAGCAGCCGTACGCGCCGCCGATCGCCGGAGAGTGAGGTCACTCTCGGCCACGCACTGTACACACCAGCCAGAGGAAAAAGACGACCAGTCAGCCGCGACGACATCTCCAAGTCAGCGCCACATCAGACCACGTCAAGGCCACGTGGTGCTGAGTCAGCGCCACGTCACCCGTTCCGGCCGCCAGTTCCTCCCTCGCCCATCATCCGACACCTGGCGCCACGTCAGCGCAAGTGCAGAGCCAGCTTCTGGCACGTCATCCACCTGGTGACGCACATTGGGATGTTGCCTGACTTGGACCGAACTGGTTCATATTTGTGGATCCCGGTTCAACGCCTTCCAGACCGGTTTTGGACGAGGTCAGACGAGTTCCTGCCATTTTCGACCATTCCGGATTCAACTGTGAGCTCCATTTTTTCAAATTCGGCTTCTAAAAAAAGGTACGAGATATATTGAGTGTTTTATTATGGATAAATCATCATCGGACACCATGATTGCGCTCGCTTCCACAAATTACAATATGTGGAAAGCCTCGGATAGAGAATTTGATAAATTTGAGGGATTTAGTTGATCCTCTTGATAATAATGGCGTCAAACCGGATAAAAAGATGGATGAAGAATGAACAAAAATGAATTGAAAAACTGTCGCATAAATTCGACATTGGATCGATCATAGTGTGTTCCACCATGTTGCTCAAGAACAAAGTGCTTACACACCATGGGGGAAGCTTGATAGCATGTATCGAGCAAAAACCGCCCGAAATAAGACGTTACTAATGAGGTGATTAGTAAAACACAAATTACGAGGTGGTATTTCGGTGTCAGAACATACTAGTCAATTCCAGGATCTCGTGAATCAATTGAGCACCATCGGATGGGTTCTCAAAGATGAAGAGCAACTGATACTACTCTTGAGCTCTCTACCTGACAGCTGGGAGACTCTTGTTGTCACTCTCAGTAATTCTGCTCCTAAGGGGAAGATGACTATGCAGATGGTCGCGGATGCCCTGATGAATGAAGAAGCCCGAAGGAAGAAAGCCGGGACGGAACAGTCATATGCCCTCATATAAGAAACTAACAGAAGAGGGGGAGGCAGAAATGGAGGAAGAAGTCGAGGTAGAGGTAGAGGCCAAGTTCAAAATAGAGGAAACTCTCAAGTTCGCTGCAGATCACAAGAGAGAGGTATGTCCTTTGAAAACAATACTTGGTTCGAAGGTTATTGCAATTATTGTGGTAATTATGGGCATATAAAAAGAGATTGTAGAAAGTTTCTACGAGAGTAGCCACAGACGAGATTGTAGAAAGTTTCTAAGAGATTGTAGAAAGTTTCTATGAGACAGAAGCTTGATCTCAAATCAAACCCATGCATCTTCATCGGCTATGGAGATGAAGAATTCGGATACCGGTTGTGGGATCCCGAAGTGAAGAAATATGTATGAAGCAGAGATGTTGTATTTCATGAAAACGAGTTTTATGAGTGTGCTCCAATAATCCGCAAACAACATACTCAAGAAGACGAAGTGCATGTATCATCAAACATTCCTCTCATCGACGAGGAAATGCATGATACTACTGACCCAGAGAGTGATGGTTCGGTAAGTGATGATGATGCTCATAGTGATGATATTCCTCAGCAGGGGGAGCCTTCACCTGAAGACGAAGCTGAAGGTATTCATGTTCGATGTTCTATGCGAGGCATAGTTCCACATAGAAAATACTTCACATCTGAATGGATACTTGTTGCCAGCGAGGGGGAGCCAACGAGCATCGCAGAAACGAGAGAAATAAAGAAAAAGGTGGAGGGGGAGATTTGTAGGGATCTTCCACCCTCTTTCTTGGGAGTTGCCAAGAGACATCTCACACCTTCTTGGAAGGAGCTCTCCAACAAATAAACATGGGAGAAGATATGGAGATGACTATGGAAGCTTGGATGCAACTTCCTTTTGTCTCCGAACTAGCCTATAAACAGAGTGTTCTATTGTTGTTCATATCATCAGTTTAGAAAGTGAGAAGAGTGTGTGAAGAGTGAAATACACTTAGTGTAGAAGTGTATTGGTGAGGATTGGTTTTTTGTAATAGTTGAGTCTGAGAGTTTGCTCCTCCTATTGTAATTCTGTTCTTGATATTGAATAGACGAATTTTCCAATCGCAACACATCTTTCATATAAACCAAATAAATTATTGCAATAAACAATTAGATTATAAATAATTGATGAAATAATGTGTTGGAAAATCATATAATCATATGTGTTATTGGTACAATACTCTGATTGATGGAGTATCGTGGCATGCTTTTAATGTGTTAAGGTCAGCAGTATTTGTTAACTTATGGAACAGGGAAGGGACATTAGAATATATGATGTGGACAAAGGTTGGAAAGTGCAAAAGAACATTCCAGCACAAGGCTTAAATTGGACAATTACGGACACATCTCTTTCACCAGATCAAAGCCATCTTGTGAGTTTGTATTAGTTTTACATATAAAATTTTCTTAGTTTGCTATGTTAGGCTTGTCTCAATTTTTTTTTATTGCGGCTTCTAACAATTTTTTGAATTTCTATCTCTCTATATATACATTGTTCTAAAATCGCTCTAGGCGTCGACTAGTCCCCGCTTAATCGTCCGCCTAGAGCGCTTAATTGGTCATCTAGGGCGTCTAGATTCACCGAACACTTAACCACATATATGAGGAATTCTACTTATAGATTAAGATAAAGATTGTACATGTTTGTATATGTTCTTAAATATTACTATTATTTATTATTTATTACATAATGTAGTTATAATACTACCTCCGTCCCTCTTATATTGGGTCGGAAGAGAGTGGCACGATTATTAAGAAAAGTGGGGTTGTGTGGTTGCTATTAATTGATAAAGTAAGAATAAAGTAAGAATGATTTAGAACCACACAAACTTTACCAAATATGGTATGGGACAATTTTAGTGGGACTTCCCGAAAAGGTAAAACGGGACAATATAAGAGGGACGGAGGGAGTATATTATTAAATGTGACAATATCATCATTCATGCATGTTAATGTGTATGTGTATATTTGTTTATACACAAAGACAATATTATTTATCATATTTATATAAAAATATTGATAAAATGGAATTTTTATGTCTCTGACTAGTCCCGCCTAGGCGCTAGGCACTGGCTGGCGTCCGACTAGCGCCTAATGCCTTTTAGAACATTGATATATAGTACGTATTTGGTTAGTTTGAATGACTTAAAAATGATTGAAATTTGTACACCTTTTTTCAGTCTGTACGTAATATTGATCCTAAAACATAATGTGTATATACTACTTTTCGGTATCCATCTTTATGTACGAGTAAATCGTCTGAATGAAATAGACATTATAATAGGTTAGGAAGTGCACCTAAAAACGTTGTAATGGTTTAACATGGATATTATTCATTGCAGGTATATGCAACAATGGCACCCATTGTGCATATTGTAGACGTCGGGTCTTCCGATAATGAATCCCTTGAAGACATTGATGTATGACTATGATAACACTATAATCTCGTCAATTAAGGATTCCTCCCTCTATTCATTGTTTTGTCTTGTTTTACCATATTTGTTTGTTTACTAAGCTTGTCTTTCATCATTCTACACATTTGATAATATTTGGATGGTTATATTTCATTTTTACTTTAGTCACATTATCAATTCAATATGAACCATACATTTTCACTTTAATAATAATCCTACAACTCCCTCATTTCCCTAATCGTATGGGACTAACAACATTCAAACCAGATGCGTAGATAAGGAGGAGCCAACGTAGGACCCGGCCCACCCTAAATTCAAAAAATATCTATGTTTTCAATGTAAAAAAAATCATGTACATTTTTTCCCAAAACCATCCCCCTTAATGCCTAAGTGATTATGAATTGAAGTTGAAACTTTCAAACTCTCACTTTTAAATGATATTGAGTTTGTTGAACATATTTAATAAATGTAAAAGGTAATGAATTTTTCTTAATTAAAAATGCCATGCAGGAGGTTCATAAGGGGTTTGACTTCTCGAGTGATGTGGAAGGTGACCATTCTTTTGGAATTTTTACTGTGAACCATTCAAACGACGGTCGTGAAATTGTTGGTGGAAGCAGCGATGATGCGATTTATGTGTTTGATCTTGAAGCAAGGAAGCTTTCCCTAAGAATTCCTGCACATGCGGTATACTCCCTTCCTATCAAACTGAGTTGCAAAATTGAGTTTTTTGGGTCAAAAAGATTCATTCAATTACTAAAACTGAATTATTTATCAATAGGGAGAATTTAATTTAAAATTGAATTGACAGAAAAATGTTGACTTTGCAAAACAATTTTGGAGGGGCGTAGTAAATAGTCTCAAAATTAAATGATGTGAATATGTGATCCAAAAGCGAGTTTTCTTTAATTCCATTCTATTAATATATAATATAACGAAGAAGTTTGGTTTACTTGTTTATGATGATTATGATGTAGTCTGATGTCAACACGGTTTGTTTCGGTGATGAAACGGACAATATTATGTACTCAGGAAGTGATGACAATCTCTGTAAGGTATTTGTTGGTCATTGAATTTTTTTTAAATTTAGTCTCCATTTGGTAAGCTAGACATGTTCTTAATTAGCATGCTCGACTCATTTCAGTACAAGGCCAGACTAGATACAAATAGATAAGATTAGACAGGACTATACAAGACCGACCAGAATATTTCAATCAGATTAAAAACATCCTTAGTCTACTCGTCATCGAAATAACTACCTTTTTAGCACTCGATGAAATGACATGTTACAAACCCTTAAAACACATGGTCACTTTAGTCAAAATAATTCTTACTAAAAGGACTATTAGGGCATGTTTGGATGACCATTACAAATCAAAATAAGCTGAAATTTGAAAATCTAGAAAATTAATTGACATGTAGCCATGTATGGATGAAAGACTTGTCTTGATTCGACCTAAAACTAATCAACTGATTTGAAACGTTACTAATTAATAATTACATCTTTCAATTAAATTTTATATTGTAAAGTTGAAATTTGAAATCTAGACAACTAATTGACATGTAGCCATGTATTTTGACTTTGCACCCTGCTTATTGAATGGTATTGGATTATACACCCCATTTCCAAAACACTTAGACTTTGCACCCTATTTTCATCAAAAGCCTTTGACTTTGCACTTCAATCAGAATTTTTTCTTCACAAAATGTTATACGATGGGTTGCAAAGTCTAAGTTTTTTGAAGATGGAGTGCAAAGTCTAATATCAACCAAAAAGTGAAGTGCAAAGTCGAAATTCCTTTATAATCTACGGTAATTTTACATTTTCAATCATTATTTTAAATGTTGTTACCAAGCAAGTCTACTTCATTCGGATAACACTTTATTTCGCAATTTCTATCTCGTTCCAAACAATAGTTTACGATTTCAGCAAGTTTTATCTTGTTCTTGACAATAGTCTCAAAATTAAACAATAGACCCCATTTTCAGCTCATTTTTCCAAACTTTATTCTCATTACTAAAAAAAGGATGACACCCCATCCCTGAGGGTCCCCAACACCGACCAGACAGTTAGATGAGAGGATGTAAATTGGACTTTAATCACAAGCTGACAGATAGAGAGTTAGGTTCTGACTATGGTACTTGCAGAGGACTTTATTCTCATTACTTAGACTAGTTATAATGCGGCATGCAAATGTATAGGTCTGGGACAGGCGTTGCCTTAGAACCCAAGGTGGTAAGTCAGCAGGAGTACTTACGGGGCACCTAGAGGGTATTACTTTTATCGACAGCCATGGAGATGGCCGCTATTTCATATCGAATGGTAAAGATCAATCCATCAAGCTGTGGGATATCCGCAAAATGTCCTCCAATAATATGTGGTATACACTTACTTCTACTCAAATTTCAGCTTCTTTCACAGACATTCATGTTATAGTACATTTCCCATTCACTTTGGAACATGTAATTTTGCACAAAAAAAAGAGAGAGAAAAATGCGATTATACGCTGATGATAGTATATACATAATCAAACTTATACTTGAACTAACAATGTACCAGTTAAGCATAATTATCGAAGTGCTTAAGATAATTATACTTAATTGGTACATTGTTAGTTTAAAGAATCTAATAAGACATTTTAAATGCTTTTTCTTTTTATTATCAGCGCGATTTGGTTCAGGAATTTTGACTGGGACTACAGATGGATGGACTACCCGGCCGAGGCAAGTGATCTGAAGCACCCCAACGACCAGTCTTTGGCTACTTATAAGGGCCACACTGTATTGCGTACTTTGGTTCGTTCATACATCTCCCCTGCATTTAGGTTAGTGCAATGGCCATTTCTTATATCATCTCTTTTCTTGTATTCTTGAAATGTATCCATGCAGTTTTCTCATATGATGTTTAAATGTGCAGCACTGGACAAAAGTACATTTACACTGGATCTCATGACAAGTGTGTTTATGTATATGATTTGGTATGCGTTATGGTTACTTTGATACTACAAAAAAATAACAGGATTGGCAGATTTTTTTGCAAGGATTCGTGAAAATTCAGAGGTTTAGCTAGAAATCATCGATCAATTTGTGTCAAATTTGTGCCAATCTCGTGATTTTTTGTAGTATACCCTCTTCTTTTCCTTTTAGATGCATATCTCGAAAACTGATGGGTAAGAAACAGGAGCGATAAGGGACTCGACCAAATGATCAAGTCAGTAGTCAAATCGATCAATGTTGGGAAAACTAATAAACTTATAAGGAATACACGAATTTGGTTTTATGAGTCGTCATCTTTTGAACGTATATTAAATCATTTCAAACTAGCTATGAGTTCACATATTGTGTACATGAGTACATCCATTTTATTCCACTGTCATGTTATTAATTAATAAACTTATGTGTACACCCTAGTTATGCTTTACTGATGAATTTAGTGCTGATTGATATAGAGTGTTTCTTGATCCTAAATCATCCAACATAAAAAAGTAATAAGAAGTACAAACAAACCTATGTGGCTTTTTTGTTACAACTGCAATGAGATTTATTTTTCAGGATTAAAAACACAAATTTTAATGTGACATTGTTAAGTTTGATCCCAAAGAGGTTGAATTAAGATGATGGCTATGAGCGGCTTGTGTTTTATGTCCAGGTGAGCGGAGAGCAAGTAGCAAAACTGGAGCACCATAGATCAACAGTGAGAGATTGTAGCTGGCACCCCTATTACCCAATGCTTGTTAGCTCTTCTTGGGATGGCGATATTGTGAAATGGGAATTCAAAGCGAAAGCAGACGATGAAGAAAAAATGCAGCCGATTCCCGCTGCTAAAAGAAAGCCGAGGCGGCGCATTCCCACTGCTAAAAGAAAACAACTCCGCCACCAATAATGTATTCCTCTACGTAGAATAGTGTGAAAAGAAATGGCTTAAAATAGGAGTTATAGAAGTAAATTAAAATATGAATAAAGTTCTAAAATGTGAACAAGTATGAGTTTGCTCGCGAAATATGACTTGTTTATTTCGATTAAAAGTACAACGTTAAATTTTTTTCAAAATAGAAATAAATGAACCTATGTGGAGAATAAAATAATGTCACTCCTATTTGATAAACTATAGTATGTTTTACACATACCTAACATTAGTAACATAGTAACATACATACACTAACACATCTAATTAACATATACAATGGTATCCGCTTTTGTGGGGAAATCCCAGTTGACCATGAAGTTGTATCTCTAATGGGTTGATGACAAATGACTTGTATTCTTGCACCATATGTTATTAGTGTTACTGTGTTGTATATCTTTGTCTTTGCATCTCAACAAGCATGAATTTTGTTAGGGTACAATTGGGATAGAAAATGTATTAGTGTCTCTCCATGCATTAAATAGTTTATGTTGCTCACCATTGATAGTTTGTTTCAATCCAAATATGGATACTAGTTAAGAGGGTTTCATCTTAAGAGTAGTAGTTTGGATCTTAATATAGTATTTTATTGTTTATAGAAATTCGGTGTGGGACACATACTTCAACACGTCCCTCATTCCAAACTGTGTTGGACAACATCATGTGGATAAATAGATCAAATAGATCCTCGAGCTATCATGTGTGCTAAACAACAATCGATCACAATAGACTCTAACTCTCATATCATGTTAAGAGTCTTAAAATATAGGATTCCATCCTAAAGTTAACATGTTATGAGGTGTTATAACTCAAAACCATAGGATAGTATTTCTTTTTTGGAATTTTATCGATCCAGAACCTCAAAGATAGATAAATTATCAATTTGGGGCCTGAAAGATGAATTGTATCGATATAGGACCTCACTAATAGAAAACTATCAATTTAGGACCTGAATAATGGAAAACTATCAATTAGGACCTAAGTTGTCATGAATTTTATTTTAGTTTTTATTTTAAAAATTTTAAATATTATTTATTTTTATTAAACTAATAAACTTTTGTGAAGAAAAGTTTATCAAAAATTAGCAATGGAATTAATAAAAAATTAAATAAATCAAAACCTATGAAATGTTTGGTCCTAGATTGATAGTTTTCCATCATTCGGGTCCTGGATTGATAATTCGGTCTATCTTTCAGGTCCTGAATTAATAAAATTTCTTCTTCTTTTTTTGTTTTATAGGAACCCAGCGTGAAACAAATACTTCTACAATAAGACTACATTGAAAGTTTTGGAGTTCATATGATTAAAAGGAAGTGTTCAAGTGTTAATACGTGTTTACATAATAATTACATAGTACCTTAACTCATGTATACATAAGCGCAGTATGTTTCAATAATTTATTTAACTATCTATTCGATTAAATTTAAACTGAAATTTAGTGGACAAACTGAAATTTGGTGGACATAAACTAGACTTGATGAAAAACATGACCAAAAGATTTTATTAAAAATTCCACCGGGAATCACCCGAAACGGTATTCGGGTAAATTCCGCAAGGCGGTTCCGATCAAGAACTCCTAACTCGAACATGATACACACACACATTTGAAAGGGTCAAACTACTTATTTTCCACGTTTTTTACTCAATTTTATTGATATACTATCTTCGTTCTTTTTGTTGGTCCTCCTAGATATTTTGTGATTTTTAATAAGAAAATAATATGGGTAATATAGAAGGTGCATGGTAAATGATAAAAATAAGAAAAACAATATAATAAGAGGATGGAAGCAATAAAGAAGTAGGAAAAAGAAAGTAGTTTATAAAGTAAAAAAGAAGAATAATAAAGGTGAATGTACAAATGTAATTTATAGAAAAACTTAAGGAGCACTAAAAATTAAAATGCGACTAAATAATACGTACTCCTTAGTCAGCACGCTGGCGTACTTCATTTAATTTCTCGATATACTTGGCACAAGTAGATGAAAACATTATTTTTGGGCATTTTAATAATGGTTAACTTTTACAAACTGAAAAGATTTTAAAAAAAAAATGTGATAGCAATTTGATGAAAAACTGACTATTTGATTTAGTTTGTTTGATATACATGTTGTTCTGATTAACTAATCCAAAAAAACTAAAATTTTTTTACAGAATCAACTAAATAAATTTTCTCAAAAAAATTGTTTTATTATCGACATCATCCTCCTAAACATATGACTAAAAACTTTTAATGAGTTTTTAAATGTTACAAAAACGTGCTCACGAATGTGATGGACTATGGAGAAAAGAGAAAAAGACTGTAGAGCATTCGTGTAAAACATGATAGGCCAAATGGTACCTACCAAACACCTAACCATCCAACCAAAACTTAGGTGGCGCGGGACAAATGGACCCCTCATGTTCGCAAAGAGACCGTTAAAAGGAAAGCGAAGCCCAAAAACCAGATCTTGACATTTAGTCACATTGTAGAATCTATACAATGCTCCGTCAATAGTAACGGCCTCATAAATTATGTGGCCTGTGAACCATGTGTTTGGTTGTACGTATTTTTTATCAAATATCGGATTATAATTTGAGAAATATACAATTGCCTAAATAACTAAGGATGTTTTTACTTGGACGGTAATTTGCTGGTCTGGTCTGGTCTGATCTGGTCTGGTCTGGTCTGAACTGGACTGGTCTGGTTTTTTTGTGTTTTTTATAACTATCCAAGTCTGGTCTGGTCTGGTCTGCACTGGTCTGGTCTGATCTGGTCTGGGACGAATTATAGTCCAAGTAAAAACATCCTAAATGACTATCATTTATGTTTAGTCTGAAACGAAAACAATCAAAAACATTTGTTTATTTTTTATGCATCTTTAAAATTAAGAAAAATTATATTTTATACATAAAGTAAGACAAAAAACGTTTTATATTCTAAAATGTGATTATCATGTTTTATTCGCAAAATATGAGTAATTATAGTCATGTTTTGGCAGTACCAAAATATAAATTGGTAGTATTTTCCAAGCTTGACTGTAATTCCTTTTTTTGGTAATAAAAACATATCAGTTCTGTTCTGGAATTTTCAAACTTTTTTACTCATATTTCGGGAATTTTCTGAATTTGTAGACATTTGATATTTATTTGTTCGTTATTGTTTATGCACACGGACAATGTTTATGCACACCAAAGTACCAAACCAACCCTGCATCTCTCATGATCCGTCCATCATCTATTGCAAAACTACATCCACATGAACACATGTGAATATCTACAAGTTCAGGATATGTAAGAATATCACCTCATAACATACTATCAAAACTAGAATATGCAGATATATAATTATTTTTGAGCAAAAATATATTACAGTTTACATAAAACATCATCTGATATAAATTCTCCCAAATATAATTCTCCTTACAAGTTATGAAAATACAAAATATAAGAATTTCACTTTATATAAAGCATCATCAATTACAAATTTTCCTTTACAAATGATAAGTATTCCCTTACAAATTTTCCCATACAAATATAAGTATTCCCTTACAAAATTTCCCTTGCAATGAACAAGTCTGTACTTTTACTTCTTGCCTTGAACACTTCTTCAGTATTAATAATCTTTTTCTAACTTCTTCACAATCACAACACAAAACAAAATATATGAAATGTAGTTAAAAAATATGAATATTGTAGCAAAAATCTGTAACAGGACAATAATAATACTCCGTAATAATATAAATTAAACAGACGGATTTTGGAATAAGAAACATACAAATATATATTGTGTTTTACTTTTTTAATTGACTTGTATCCTAAATTGCAAGATCAGGCAAAAAAAAATCGATCACAACCAAAAATAATTAGACAATAATATTTGAACAAATAAAAACAAAAATGTATTGCTAGAAAAGATTTAGCCTTTTCTAACAAACAACCAAATAAATTAAATTTATTTTGGAAAAGTTAACATTTATAGCGAACTGACACTTATAGAAAAACTCATTACTTTGAGGTGTCATTTATTATGTGCACGTTTTTTAATCCTTTATTTTGTTACTGTTATAACATTAATTAACAATTTTAACCAAATTCAATAAATAATTAATCCTCAACGGAAAAATAGCAATATTCCAATCATACCCTTGCTCCTGCCCTGTCAAGTCCCTGTTTTACCCTTCCATCCTATGCACTGTTCTGTGGGCCTCGTCTTCTGCCTCCCTGCTCTCAACGGGCAGGGGCTCTGTACGGGCAGCACCATACAATTGTACTGCAAACAGAGTGAGCTGCTCACCGGAATCTCTGCCGCCGGTTTTATCGAGATCCCGGTCAGATAGTTATGCTGTAAGTAAAGAACCTGAATATCTGAGGAGAGTAACCGGTCAACGATGCTTGTCGGTACCTCGCCGGTGAACCGGTTATTGTTGAGGTATAGATTCTGGACCGTCGAGAACAATGGGGATATCTCGCCGGAAAACCGGTTGAAGCTGAGATCGACGGTGGGTATGACTACCTGGCTGGTTGGGCTCACCGGGCCAAAAAGCTTGTTTCTTTGGAGCTGGAGATTGGTAATGGGTAAACTGAATATGTTTCCCGGGATGGTGCCGGTGAACCGGTTCGAGCTCAGGTCGAGATAATTCAGCCTGTTTAATTGGTTCAGGGCCTGATCGACAGGTCCGGTCAGCTGATTCCATGACAGAGAGAGGTACTGAAGGGACGGGGGGAAGGCATTTGCCGGTAGCTGACCGGAAAGGTTGTTGTGCTTGAAGTCAACTCTGGTCAAACTCTGAGAGGCGAACGGCGGGACGCCGCCGGAGAGATGGTTGTGACTAAGAATGACATTGGACAGAGCTGGCAACGACCCGATGACCGGAGAGATATTCCCGGTGAACTGATTGTAGCTGAGGTCTAGCGTTTGCAGGCTCCGAAGCTGGCCAAGCGCCGGCGGAATCTCGTCGGAGAGAGAGTTCCGGCTGATTCCAAGAAACCTGAGGTTCTTCAACTGCGAGAGAGTTTCCGGCAAGCTCCCATTTACCCTCCCCGGAGTAACACTGAAATCAGTAAGACCAGAAAGCTTCCCAATAGCCGGATCAATCCGCCCGGTCAATCCCGGAGACCCGGCTCTCGGGTCACCAAGATTCAACGCGACCACCTTATCCCCGTCGCAGAAAACGCCGGCAAAGTTACATGGATCGGAAGTGAAATCCCAGGAATCGAAGTAGTTGGAACCGGGCAAATCATTCAAGCTCTTACGAATGGCTTGAAGAGCCAAGAAATCAACAGGGTCAAGAATCGCAAGAACAGAGAAACTACACCGGAGAAGACAAACAGCGAGAACTGATCTAATCATTGCTGCCCAATATATTTCAAGAATCAGAGAGATGAAAAGAGAAGAAAGGGATGCTTTTTTGTGTCGTTTCTGTTCTTCTTCTTCTGGGTTATGGAGAAAAATGAAAGATAGAGGAAGTGCAATAGCAGAGTGTGGCGGAGAAAAGCTGGTTAAGAACTATTTCCGAGATTTGCTTCGTTCGAGAATAAACGGTTGTCCGAGCCTACGTGGGCAACCAAACCTGGATATGTAAGTGACAGATAAGCAGGCACGAGTACAGTTGACGAAGATTGCCACGTAACCTAATGCTTGCTATTTTCGGATCTACTCCATCCGGTCTCAAAACAAATTAAATGTTTTGACTTCATACAAATTAAGGAGATAAATTTGATTTTACTGTAGAGTACACGTTGTGACATTGTTTGACACTTTTTGAAACTGTTTTGCATTGTTTAACACTGTTTTGCATTGTTTTGATGTAGATAATTTGCCAAATAAGGAAGGAAGGAGAAGTGTGAAGTTTATTTTGGACCTACCCAAAAAGGAATGTGAATTTGATTCGGGACCGGAGGGAGTATTATTTTAGAAGTAATCCTTACCTTTTGACGGGTTTAACGCACCAAATCCCCCTGTGATATGGAAATTCGGCGCATTAGCCTCATGTGATAAAAAAAATGCGTCAAACTCCCTTGTGTTTTAATTAATTATGCGCAAAATCCTTTCTATGAACAGATTCAATTGTAAAATAAAAGAAAAATAATTAACATTTTTGTATGATTTAGATATTTTGACATACTACCTCCGTCCCTTAAAACTTTGCCAAAGTTGACCGGCACGGAGAATAACAAAGTAAAAATTGTGTGGTTGAGGTTTGTGCAGAGGAGAGAGAAATAACATAAACCACAAAATAATTGATTAAAAGGGAAAGTGGCAAAGTTTTTTGGGACGTCCCAAAAAGGAAAGACGGCAAAGTTTTAAGGGACGGAGGGAGTATTTACTTGCATATTCAATTAGAATATTAGGAAAAGTGATCTCAAAATCATTAAATTTAGTCATAAAATGAGTTCTGTGCATGATTAATTAAAACACAAGGGGGTTTGACGCATTTTTCAAATCACTGGGGGTTAATGCGCTGAATTTATATTTCACGGGGGGTTTGGTGCATTAAACCCCCTTTTTGATACCAGGGGTAATCCCTACATAGAAGCTAATAAAAGTTTAATTACACAAATAATTGTAAAATTTTAAATTCTCAAAATATGAATAATTCTTCCTATTCACATTCTTTTGCTTTTAACAGGAATCATACTTTTTTATAATAGAAACATAAACATAAAAAAATGAAAACATAAAAAATATATAAACAATCTAGAAGCCTACGCCGCCGCCTCAGTTACCTTTTAGCACTATCAATTCCAGTCATCGGAAGAATTAGCAACTTAGAGCATCTCCAATGCTATAAGGTGCACAGTGCAAATGTGACATGAGAGTGATAGACACAAAATATTGATTTTATAACATTTCTCTCTCCTTCTTTCCACGGTCTTACGTGTTTTTGGTAAGTTTTTCTCTGCAATGTCAACCACATTGTCTACATTTAGACATTGTGCTTGACATTGTGAAGAAAAACTTACCAAAATGATGTAATATCCTTCAAATAAGGAAATAGATATTCTATTTATTGTTTTTAATTGGTTATACTTTAATAATGTCACCTCAATCAATGGTAGTTTTAACATTTTTAAGAGATAGTTCCCAATGTAGGACTAATGTAGGAGTAAAGTATGATAAAAAGGCAAAAATATGAGTAGTTATTTAAAATTTTCAAAATATGAGTTTTTTACTATAAGTAGACAAGAATACCCTGCTACAGTCGCCTCCTACCGCCGGCATGTTAGATTTCTGCCACCAATGGACTGTGACCACCGGTCACCGGAGTTGTGGTGACGCAAAAAAATCCATATTTGAGCCACTGCTGGTCACTAGAGCTCTACCACCACCACCACCGGGCTACCCGCCATCAACAGAGTGATCCGGTTATCCAAGAGAAATAGGGGGCAATTATTATATTAATTAATTAAATAAGGGGTATTATGGGTATAAAAATTAATGTTTACTCCTGTTTAGAGAAGATTACAGGTGGACTCCTATTTAGGGAAAAGCAATATGCGTTACTCGTATTAATGTCAATTACTTCATTTTTGAAAGAGTAATAATGTCATTTTTCAGTGAAAAATAGAATTTTTATACAAGATTAAATTTTTCGGGCACTCAGAAATGGCAGCGCAGGGAGATATAGCAGAGACGTGCATATAATTTAAAATTTTATGTCTTTTATTTATTTATTTATTTATTTATATATATATAAGTTTTTATATATTTTGATTTTATTTTAAACTTTTAACTATGAATAATATAATAGACATTTCTACTATAAATAATATTTGATTTTTAAACTTTTTGATTTTATTTTTAAACTTTTTGATTTTATGAATAATAGCAGAGACGTGCAAAAAAGACTATTCTACTATAAATAATATTTCCTTATTTTTTACTATGAATAAAAATATGATTTTCTTACTAGAATACGATACTTTATTTTGAGAATATATAAAAGGGAAAGTTCCCGAAATAGGACTAAAACAGTTTCAAAATTCCAAAATAGGTCTGTCATGTTTTTTATTCCCAAAATAGGACTAATTATTGTCATTTTTAGAAAATACTGCCATGCATGTTTGAAGTCTGGTACTGCCAAAACATGACAGTAATTAGTCTTATTTTGGGAATAAAAACATGACAGTCCTATTTTGGAATTTTCAAACTCTTTTAGTCCTATTTCGGGTAATATCTCTATATAAAAGAGGTAAGGGTCAGTTTGGTCCTCGAAGTTGCATAAAAGGGGTCAAATAAGTCCTTATAACGTCTTTACTGTCCGGCCGTCGCCATTTGGGGCAGTTCCCGATGGAATTTTTTGATGAAATTTTTTGAGCATCTTATTCATTAAGTCTAGTTTACTCATACCAAATTTCAGGCAAACCTTAAATCGGGAAGGCATTCAAATGAATTCTTGAAGATAACTGCGCTTTTATCTTCAAGTCTTCATTTGAATGCCTTCCCGATTTAAGTTTTATCTGAAATTTGGTATGAGTAAACTAGACTTACTGAATAAGATGCTCAAAAAATTTTATCAAAAAACTCCGCTGGGAACCGCCCCAAATGACGACTCCCAGACAGTAAGGACGTTATAAGGACTTATTTGATCCCTTTTATGCAATTTCGAGGACCAAACTGACCCTTACCTCCTATATAAAATATAGCCTTTCTTTTGCACTTTGAAATTCTCACCATTATTTAGAAAATGGATATGCATATAAATTTTCAATAAGTTACTGTAATAATTTTTCAATAATATTTTCCATATAAAAAAATCTTTACAATGGTCAAAAGTAACTATTGTTGAATTCTAAGAGTTTAGGTGAAAAAATTAACAGAAATGAATGATTTTCTTGGTAATCTAATCAATTATATGGAATAATATTCCTCGGTCAACTTTCCATTTATGGTCAACTCAACAATAACTAATTAACTATAAAGTTAATTTTTTGTCACCGGTCAACTTAACTTCTACCAAGATTTTTAACCCGTCGTGTTAGACATATGTATCTAAAATTTAAGTTAATGTCTATATCTAAAATTTAAGTTAATGTCTATATCTAAAATCACATAATTATAAAACATTTAGAAATCAATAAATTTATTATTGACACGAGTCAGGACTATTAAATCAAAATAGGATATTAAAGAAAAATATTAAAAGTGATAGTGGGTTTATTTTGACACGTTCTGGTCATAAGGCTTATAATGTGTAAATATCTATATCACTGGCTTAGGGTTAAAAGTAAAAATTTATGATTCTAATGTCTGAATATTTTTTTAACACAGTAAGAAAAGAACCAATAAGCATGATGAGACTTGAATCATGAATGCAACAATGTTTTGACCAATTACTAGTAAAAACCCCAATTCAATATATCCAAACTTTAGAGAGTCTTCTCAAATTTTTTTCCCAAGTTAAAAAGAAATCACTAGTCCTTAGATCAACAGATCTTACTTTGCACCTGAACTAAGAACATATCCTGTGGGACGGTCAAAGTAATTGATACCAGATAAAAACAATGTGAATATACTATTCTATTTATTGAAAAATGTTTAATTTGATTAAAACATTGTTTTTGGACTTCAGTTTAGACTTTAGAGTCGTCACCTTTTAAGGGAAATTTGCTTTTCGCACATTTCATATTTTAATATTTTATTTTACATCCCGTATTTTATGTTCCTTAATTTTGCATCTTAGCATGTTATTACCTCCTCCATACACTGTTTGAATAATGAAAAATTACAAATATATTAACAAGGAATGAATTTATATATGTGGCATTGTGGCTCATATTAAATCAGTATAAATGCTCGTGCTTAACTTCTAAGTATGGATAAACTAGACTTGATGAGGAACATTAACAAAAAAAATTATCAAAAAATTCCACCGGGAACCGTCTCAAACGGCAGCGGCCGGCCAGAGGGTCTTGTCCCTTCGGCTGGACAGGATCATTCATCTCTCTATCGAGGATAATAAGCTGGGACTGCTGCTTTGGGAGTTTGGGCCTAAAATATTAAGTTGGAATTGCTGTTATGGGCCTATTCGTTATTCTATTGGGCTTTGTATATATTCTTTAATAGCCTTTATGTAATAAGTATAAATACCAAAACTTATTGTAATTAGGTTAACTTTTCATTCAATCGATCTTCTTGCTTCCGCTATCTTCTTCTGCAAACCTTCATCATCTTTGATTTCAATTTCATCAAAAAAATTTAGATAAATTTCAACATGGTATCAGATTAGGATTCGATCCTTCATCATCCTTCTGATAATCTTCATCTTCTTTCGATTTCTCTAAATCGTGTCTCTCTGGAATTATTTCATCCTATAACCCTAATCGCATAAACTTTCCTTTGCGATGAATCAATCGACTTTCCCCTTAAATCCTACCGAAGATGTTTCGTCTCCATATTATTTGCATCCTAGTGATCGATCACGCAGGCCTCCAGATCATCTCTGAAATGCTTACTGGAGATAACTTCATTGCTTGGAAGAAATCCGTCACTATGGCCTTCAGCG